AATGAAGGAGATGAAGATGATTAGAGAGTAGAGAGGATTTAGGAAGAGTTAGAGAAGATGTGGAAAAATGTTTAATATTAGGAGTATTTATAGGTTTTTTTACCCCACTCCACCCCCCACCCCCACCCCCACCCCCCCAACTGGCCTGGACCCCCCTACCCCCAAACGGCTATATAGCCGTTTGGGATGTCCCAGCCCAGCCTAATGGCTCTTTTGAGCCCAAAAGAAAAAAAAATTAAAAAAATTGGACCGTTGGACCTGGACCCCGGGCCCGACCCGGCCGGGCCGGGTCACCATTTGTAAGCACCGAGCCCGCCCCGCCCTACACCCCCGGTTCGGGTATCCACCCGGACCGCTAGACCGGGCTGGTCCCGGGCCCGCACAGTAGCGGGCCGGGTGGCCCAAACCGAATCCAGCACTAGCTGCATACCCAAATGAACAACACAAACACATACACATAGCGCCAAAATTCACATTAACTATCAAAGTTAATTGCTAATAGTGTAGCTCTTGGTAGAGAATGCCAGGTAATTAATTTGTTATCAATTGCAATACATAATGATGACATAAATAGCGGCCCACCATTCAGCCCAATACGGTAAGCCCGGTTGAATACGGATTGAGCCCGTAAATAAGATGGACCAGGTGAGCATGGACCCCAGTGAGAGACATGCAATGGTCCGCGCACTCGGATATGGAGGCCACTTTCGTGGCGCGCTGAGCATGACTTGGTCTTATCTCTACAAGAAGACCTGGACATGGCGTGCTCAGCATGACACAAAGGGGATTGGGGCATGGCATGTTGGGCGCCACATGGTGCACTCCTCACTTCGGCGTGACAAGCTACTATTCTCACCCAGACATGACGCGCCGCTACGCGCGTGGTGCACAATCGCTTTCACTATTGCACATGCATGATGTTACTTCCAGGAAGCTACGTGACTAGCAGCAAATCCCGAAGATCACATGTCACCTCATGACTAGTCCCACGAATCACAGAATGGTGGCACGTCAATAGAGGCATGGCGACCACGTCGCCCGAATATTTCTTGTCCCGATTTTGTATTATAAATTCATGTAACTCTTGAAAGAATGGCGAGCTGAATACACTACGGGGGGTGTATTCAATGTAGATTGTTATGGACTTTTTTTAATCCATGGACTTTTAAAAAAGTCAATGGACTTTTAAATTCATAGACTTTTTTATGAATGAATTCTATGGACTTTTAAATTCATGGATAAGTTTATTGACTTTCAAAAAGTCCATAGACTTTTAAATGCGGACCGCTACTGCTGGTCGTCAAAATTTTCACCTAGATTGTCGCTACCGATATGAATGTGATCTGTCCGCCTCCATCACCGGAGTTCCCCGCTGTCGTCATCGGACTGACGCGTCACCAACAAAATGGCTTTGGTTGTGAAAGGGAGCTAGGGACAATTAATTATATTAATTAATTAATTAATTAATTAAATTAGGGGTGAATATGTAATATTTATTCCTATTTAAGAAAAATCAAACATTTAATCATACTTTAAGAATAATGCTATGTTTTAGTCCTACCGTAAGTGATTTCCTCTATATAATACGGAGTACGATAAGAAATATATAAGTAAATAAATAAATAAATAAATAAATAAATAAATAAATAAATAAATAAATAAATAAATAAATAAATAAATAAATAAATAAATAAATAAATAAATAAATAAATAAATAAATAAATAAATAAATAAATAAATAAATAAATAAATAAATAAATAAATAAATAAATAAATAAATAAATAAATAAATAAATAAATAAATAAATAAATAAATAAATAAATAAATAAATAAATAAATAAATAAATAAATAAATAAATAAATAAATAAATAAATAAATAAATAAATAAATAAATAAATAAATAAATAAATAAATAAATAAATAAATAAATAAATAAATAAATAAATAAATAAATAAATAAATAAATAAATAAATAAATAAATAAATAAATAAATAAATAAATAAATAAATAAATAAATAAATAAATAAATAAATAAATAAATAAATAAATAAATAAATAAATAAATAAATAAATAAATAAATAAATAAATAAATAAATAAATAAATAAATAAATAAATAAATAAATAAATAAATAAATAAATAAATAAATAAATAAATAAATAAATAAATAAATAAATAAATAAATAAATAAATAAATAAATAAATAAATAAATAAATAAATAAATAAATAAATAAATAAATAAATAAATAAATAAATAAATAAATAAATAAATAAATAAATAAATAAATAAATAAATAAATAAATAAATAAATAAATAAATAAATAAATAAATAAATAAATAAATAAATAAATAAATAAATAAATAAATAAATAAATAAATAAATAAATAAATAAATAAATAAATAAATAAATAAATAAATAAATAAATAAATAAATAAATAAATAAATAAATAAATAAATGAAAAAAATGTAATTCATATAGCAACACAAAATTCTACAAAAATAAATTAAGCCCGGCCCGGTGGATCGATACCGGTACCGGGCCTAGGACTGACCCGAGGGGGGGGGGGGGTTAATTGGGGCGGTTCCAGGACTGCATATTTGAGGAACAGCCCGACCGGTCCGGGCCTTATTTGTTTTTGTTTTTTGTTTTTTTGGTTTGGGCCTATGGTAGGTAGGTTGGGTTGGGTGTTTTGGAGGGGTTTGGGGGTGAGGGTTGGAATATATAAGAAAACCCAAAAAAATGAACCAGCCCCGCCCGGTACCAGTAGACTCCTAGGCCGGTCCCGGGCCTTACCCCAAAAATTCCAAGCCCGGTCGGGCCCAACTCGGAACCGAAACCGGGTCGGGCCTGGTCCATCCCTGGGAGGGAGGGGAGGAATGAAGTGGGACGGGATGAAGAACCAATATAAGAAAAGTCCACGGAAATCTTTGGTGAGGAGAAGAGACAATTGCAGAGAATTTTTGCACTAAAAATGAATTAAAAGTCTACGAGAATCCATGATTTTAGAAGTCAATGAGAATGAACGGAAATTTGAATACGCCTAGACTTTTATAGACTTTTAAAAGTCCGGATTGAATACACCTAGACTTTTGTGGACTTTTAAAAGTCCACATTGAATACACCTAAACTTTTAAAATCCATGGACTTTTAAAATTTTGCCACTAATTCCTAATACAATACACCCCCCTACATATATTTATCTCTCTAAATATTATTCTAAGTGCTTTAAATATTTTCGCCTATCTCTTATTAATTATTTTATGGTGGATTTAGTTCCATCACAATTCACACAACAAGTTAATAACCTTACTTAACAACATGCCCACGTACACAGGTACTCTATATATGAATCAAATTGCAATTAAATCTCCATTAAATATTCTTAAAAAGTTGTGTACCATTTTCCAGGTGAATTCTGGTGCATTTTTTAGTTATATCTATGTGTACCAATATTATACTCCTGGATAAGAGTTTTTTTTTTCTCAAAATAATGCAAACTAAAAAATCATTTAAGAAATTGAGATTGGGTGAAAAGTATTTCTCAAGCCAGAGGAGAAAACACAATGACCCAACAACGTAGCAAGTTCAACTCAAGCCAGAGGAGAAAACTAGCCAATTAAGGGCCACCGAAATAAAATCTCCTTCTTTTCTTAAAGTGCTACAACTTTTCTTAATATTGCACATATAAAATAAAAGTTTTGTCATTGTTATTGATTTTTTAATTATTTCATTGTTATTGAATTTATGAATTACAGTTGAATTTAAATGACACAAAATACTAAGTAGGAGTATGTTTTGTGATATATTTAGTCCGTATTTCGCAGTAATAAGTGTTTTTTCCTTAAATATTATTAATAAAAATATAATAGACAAAGATGGGACTTAGTAACTATTAGTGACTATAATTGTATTCACAATTTACATCACAATAACTTACATTTAATTACTACTATGTAAGTTTTGAACACAATTGTAGACACTAATAGTTAGTAAGTAGTACTACCTCTGTCCTAAAATAATTAGCCAAATTCAAAACTTTGACCTATGATATATAATTATTGGAAGTTATTTATAATATAAAAAATGATGTGAAAATGTTCTTTAATTTGTTAAAAGTATTTCAAAAGTAGAGAATTTATAACTTTTATAAAGGGGTGAATGGGTGAAGTGGCTATATAACCACAAAAATTAGGTAGAGATTGTGCATGGAAATTTTATAACCGATATTGTGAATTTTCGTTGTTCATGGTTGGTAAAACTTTTTCAACCTTGTTGTTCTGATGCTTCAAAGTTCAAACACTCGCCCACTGCCTAAACCGCCACCTTGCTCTAGAAAGAAAAAGACGATCAATTGGATCTCCTTTTCGGTGTCTGGTCAAACCGATGCTTCAAAAAATTTCTGCTCAGTTGATTTTTTTTTTGTTGGTTGCTGGACAAACCAATTCTCCCTTTGCGGTGACTGATGAAGTCGGATCTTTTAGTATTAATTTTTTATTTTCTGTTTAGAGTAGCAAGCAAGGCTTTTAGGCTAGACTACATTATCGCGGGGTTAGCGATCTGGAAGGATTCATTGGATCTGTTCTGTTCTATGTCTCATCCCATTGTAGCCTTAGGCTATTCATTCTCTTGTATTTTTGGTATCGTTTAATAATAACTTAGTTATTTGATTTTAAAAAAAAATCTACTTAAAATGTAAAATTATTAAAATGTAAAAAAATGTAACCATTAGAAAAGTAATACTCGTAAAACACCAAATTAGAGAAAAATGAAAAATTAAACTACTCAAAGTTTATAGTCGTTTGAAAAATCCATAGTAAAGTATTCAATGTTCAAATATTGAAAATTTAAATTTAAAAATTACTACGAAATGAAATAAAAATGTAAGGAATTGAATTTTAATAAATAAAAAACAGTAAATTGAAGAAAGATGTATTGAAAATTTAGAATACAAAACTCAAAAGTAAAAATGAAATAACTCTAGGTTTAACAGTGGAAAAATTGTAAAGAAAACACAACTTATTATAATGTAAATTACTCCCTTCGTCTCACTACAATTGTCTCATTTTTTTGTTCTCATTTTTTCGTTTGTACTGATCCCACTAAATTTGCCTCAATACTCGTGTATTTTTGTGGTTTTATCCCTCATCACCCACACAAAATGAGGTTCGTAAGGGAAAGAACAACACAGGAAATTATGAAGAAGAACAGAGTAATCAAATCTGTGCCAGACCATTTCCTCACGACCGCCTTACCTTCCACTTTCACACTTCTTCTCATCAGCGCCTCCACCTCCTTCACCAAATCGAATTCCTTACCCTTCTTCTTCAGCTCCTCCACGCACTTCCGTATCAGCTTCCCGTCCTCTTTCTCTCGCTCCAGAAGCTTCTCCAGATGGGCCTCGGTGTCGGCCTTGTACCGTATTGCCCAGATCATTCCCAGGGAGCAGAGAGACGGGATCCACGATCTGCGGCAGTAGATTCCGGCTCCCTTCGACCAGGATCGGGCGACGGAGCTGAAGAAGATCGTTAGGCAGAGGGATTGGAAGAGGAAGAAGAGACAGCAGAGCTGCTTGATCTCCTTTCTGAAGGAGTCGATTTGAGTCTCCTTTGCGACGATCCTGTTGAAGTTTAGATCTTCTTCCTTGAGCCATCGCTTGAGGAGGAGATCGTGGGTTGGGAGCTCGGAGATTTGGTGCAGTGGGTGAACGCTCTTCGCCTCCATGATTGAGGACGACTGTGTTGCGTTCTCAACATCCATTTCTGTTCTCTTTCTATTGGTAGAAAGAGGCGAAAACCATCGTTCAATTGCTCAACTGCTCTCTGAAAAAAATTGAAACAAAATGAGTCCGCTCAGCGCTATCCTTTTCGAAAATTCAGAGAGAAATGCGAGATGAATGGATGTGGGTAGAAAGAGTAGTTGGGTCATAAAAAATGTGTGGGGCACTAAAAAGATTTTTGGAGAAAGTACTTAAGAGTTAACCGTAAAAGTTTAAGTTGATAGTGTTTAAGTTTAAGTTGATAGTGTTTGATAAAAAGTGTTTTTGTTAATAGAAAAAGTGAAAAAAAAATTAAAACATCATTTCACCCGCTTCAAGTTTTTAACTTTTAAATAATTAATTTAATCAGAATCTGTCATTTGAAAACATTCTTTTCAACTTTTTTAAAATCAAAAGTTGAAAAACACCTTTTTAAAATTTTAGCAAACATTCCTTAAAATGGACCATACGAGTATTTACCACATTAAACTATCCTATAACTTTGGAAGGCTCGTCCAGCTTAACTTTGAACCTGCACATGAAGATGTTTAGTAGGAACACAAATAGAAACGGTACTCAATATAACTTTTTATCTCCAAAATATATAATCACTTGACATATTGATGGACCATAATGAGAAGAAATTCCAAACAATGTCAGCTAAAACACTACTCATTAGTTGTTGTAGAATACTCAGAATAAAAAAGCTTATCAGAAATTCAGGGTAGAGCCAGAGCACTGGACCGAACTAGGTCAGTGCAAAAAAAACGACATAGGGGGCCTAGGTTGGCCCCCCTATATCTCCACCCTTGAACTCGATAAAAAATGTTGTATACATTTTAAAATTCTCATTTAAAATTGTCAGTATCACACATTTTATGAAAAATTCTCGTCTAAAATGTCTGTGATACAGACAACTTTTTGTTTTTGTCTATGTGGAAACCAGTTTTCTTCATAGAACGCCGGTCAAATTGTCTATATACAGACAATTTGACCAACGTATACACAAAGCGGGAGTGAAATGAATTGGGTGTTTTTATTGACAAAAATCCCAAGCCCGATTACTACAAGAACGGCCATAAAGAATCTTCATTTATGGGAGGGGACGGGGGTATATTATAGTGTATGGTTTGACACATGGGGCGTCGATGTGTTTTTAAGTTTAGAATTGTATAGGAGTGGACTCGGGTCGGGCCAACCGGCCCGGACCGGTACTGTTTGTGCCCGGCCCGGCCCGGTAACCGGTCTGGGTGCCGGTTCGGGCCACCCGACCCGGTCTGATAGCGGTCCGGGCCTGCTTAGAAGTGAACCGGCCCAGGCCCGGGCCTCAACGGTCAAATTTAAAAAAAAAAATTAAATAATTAGAGGCTCTGATCTATAGCCGTTGGGACTGTTCCCAAACGGCTCTATAGCCGTTGGGAGCATAGGAGGGGGGTCTGGGGGGTTAGGGAGGTGGGGGGTGGGGGTGGGGTGGGGGTGGGGTATACAAAAAAACCTATTTATACTCCTATTTTCTACACATTTTTTACACCTCTTCTTCTACAACTCTTCCTACTCTCTAATTCTCTATACTCTCAATCTCTCATATTCAATCATCTTCATTCTTCATCTTCTCCAAATTCTTTCTACATATATATAATTTATATAATTATTATATCTACATATATATTAATTATCTACTTATAAATATATCCTTATATATACTCATACACATTCATATTATAATTCTTTACACATTATATATACTATATATACTTATACACATTCATATTTACTTGATATTTAGTTATTATCCATACTATTGTTATTTACTTATATTTACATATTACATTTAGTTAATATATACTTATAAATATATATATAAAAGTATTAAGTATAAGTGTATTACTCATCTTATAGTAATATACTTATATATTATATACTATAAACATTATATTATATATTACTTATAATACATTTACACATTATGTAAACTATATAGACTTATACACATTCATACATTTTATAAAAGTAGTTAATTGTTAGACTTCTCATTTATCTATTAAATTAGTTAATTGTTACATTTGTCATATTAATATTAGTTAATTGCTGCATTGCTCATTAAAGTAAAAAAAAAAACTAGTTAATTTTTACATTTGTCATATTAATATTAGTTAAACTAGTTAATTGTTACATTTGTCATATTAATATTAGTTAATTGCTACATTGCTCATTAAAGTAAAAAAAAAACTAGTTAATGTTTACATTTATCATATTAATATTAGTTAAACTAGTTAATTGTTACATTTGATATACTCATATTTTAGTTCGAATTTGCTATAGTTTTCTTAGTCACATTTTATTATTACTATTGTACTCATATAAAATATTTTATATCATTTAATATTTGTTCAATTTTAAAGATGGACCGTGGTAGACATTCTGTAGATATGGGTAATCTCCAACGCAACTGCAAGAGGGAGATTGCGGCGACTCGTCCTACTTCACGCAAAGGCAAAGGTAAAGCGCGGGACGAGTCTTCTTTTCAAAGTCGAGATGATTTTGAAACAGATTACCAACGGAGAGATGATATGGTGATCTCCGACGAGCAACTACAAAACCCATTGTCCCAAAATGATCCACGCTTTGCACAAGAACAACAATTCCCGACAACCATTGATGAAGAGGAGCTCGAGGATGACGATGCGGAGAAGGACGAGGGGGGCGACGGGACTCACGGCACCCCGGATGATGAGCAAGAGTTGGAGGACGAGGGCGGTTCAACCCAAATTGGTAAGAAATCTAAATCTCCTTTTATTGAAAACAATTTTACAAAAAGGAAAGACAAAAATACCGATAAATGGTACGCAAGTTGCAATCATTGCAACAAAGAGTATAGCTTGGGAACTTCTGGCGGATACGGGAGTCTGACAAGGCATCTTAAGTCCGCCCACTTTGTGGAGTATGCGAAAATAGACAAAGGCGGGGGGAAGCAAACACAAATATCGAGGTTTGCAAATTCTCAACCCTTTTGTAATTTCTCCTATGATGATCAAAAACATTTGACTGGTATGTCTCATTTAATTGTTGAAGAAAATTTTCCTTATAGTTTTTCCGAAAGTCTTGCTTTAAGAGATTATGCTCAAGGTACTTTAAATCCTCAATTTAGAAATTATAGTCGCAAACCGATTAAAAAAGAAGTTATAAGGCAATATAACTTGGAAAAAGAAAAATTACAAACATTTTTCGCAAACTTTGATGGACGTGTTAGTATTTGTAGCGATATATGGGAGGATACTTATCATCATTTATATTATTTGGGTCTTACTGCACATTATATTGATGATTATTGGAATATGCATAAACGTGTTATTGCTTTTCGTGAATTCAATGATCGTCACACTGCTGATAATATTTATATTCTCATTGAGCGTATTTTAATTGAGTATAATTTGATTGATAGGTGTTTGCTGTAGGTTTTGATAATGCTAGTAATAATACTGCTGTTATACCTAGATTGCGTGAATTGTGTGGTGCTTCTACATTGATGGATAGATTTTTTCATCAACGTTGTGCATGTCATATTCTAAATTTGTGTGTACAAGATGGGTTAACAGCATTAGGTGATGCTTTGGAGGTAGTGAAGGGGGAATTAAATTGATTTGGGCTAACACTCCACTAAAAATGCAATGGCGGCAATATCTGAAGGATAGACGTGTCAATTATTGTGCTTTTCCTAAAGATTTGTCTATTCGTTGGAATAGTACTTATAACTTAATTCAAGTACTTATGAGATATAAAGATCATTTTCCTGCTTTTTTAAGACAATCTTGTAACTATATTATAAACCCGGCTGACATCGACACTTGTGGAAAAATTGTTAATGTTTTGGTATATTTTAATAACGCAACTCAAACTTTTAGTCATGTTTATAAACCTACCGCAAACGAATTTTTTGTTGAAGCTATTAATCTCGCCGGCGCTTTTTGTAAATTTTCCGATGCCGCTTACGTTAGTTATTTTTGTGATTTCATGAAACAAAAGTTTTTAAAATATTATTCACATATTCCGCATATATATGGTATTGCATTTGTTCTTGATCCTCGTTATAAACTTGCTTACTTGGGAACTTGTATAGATTACTATTATGCTTCTCTTTTTCCAACTCAAGAGTACGATGATAATCTCATCGACCCTAAACAAGAATACAACGAGGTTAGTAATTTATTTCATCAATTGTATAATGAATTTCATGCACAATATGGTAATGCACCCCCTCCCATGCCGCGAACATCTTCTTCATCTAAAGGAAAATCACTTTTAAAATCTGCATTTAGTCCTCTTTTGAAAAAAAGTAGAGCAACTCGTGCTACTGAACAAAGCTCAGTTAACGAGCTTTCTTTGTATCTAACATTGAATGTTGATTATGAAGTTGGGGATAACTTTGACGTTCATAAGTGGTGGAAGGATAATGAAAGAACGTTCCTGATTTTATCAAAGATGACTAAGCAAGTGCTAGCAATGCCGATATCAACAATTGCCGTGGAACAAGAATATAGTGCAGCCGGCAACGTCCTAACCGATTACAGAACGAGGTTGAGCCCGAGCTCTCTTGAGACGCTAGTTTGCTTCCACGATTGGTTGAAGGCCCAACGAAGAACTCAAGAAATGATCATCGCTCTCACCCGCCACTTTATGGAGGAAACAACCACCGAAGGCGGAGATTCCGATTGATTTTTTATTACAAAATGTATTACATTTATTAAATTCATCCTAATTCTCAATTGTACTTCTTATTTAAAATAAATATACTTGAATTATTTTATATTATTGTGTACATCAATTCAATAATCAACAAAAAAAATTATTCAATAATCAATTCAATAAAATTAATTTGTAAACTTAATCAATTCTAAAATTATTTTTCTAAAATCTAAAGGCTGTTTTTAAATTAAAAATACATTTACAATATGTAATTTGTTTAAATACTTATACACCTATTTTGTAACATTTGTAAATTATAAATCAAACCACTTTTCTAAGTAAAAATAGTTTTACTTAATTCATTAAATTAATTAACTTATTTTACAATATGTATAATTTTCAAAAAAAAATTAAAAACATTTTAAAATACAAAATAGCTCCCAAACGGATATATAGCCGTTGGGGCTTTGGGTGGGGGGCAGGGGGTCCCAGGGGTGGTG